GCCCGACACGGAGCTTTTGCCTCGAGTGTGGGCCGGTCTGTGCAAAATATTGAAATCATTCCCAAAGTCTTATCAGTGCACAGTTCTTACCTCAGACACGTACAGTTGCTATGTTTTCAAACGTGTGACGATTTGAAATCTATGTTCATATTATACAGAGAGCATATTGCTTGCATCATGTACACAAATATTACTGTGCATTTCAAGGTGGCCTTATGTCATATCTGTGTTTCTTTAGTATAGTTAAAAATGGGGAAACAAAATAATAATTTAAACATAGTTGAACACTGGTGACCTTGTCCTTTTGTCCTTTGTTATATAATATTATTCCCTTTATCATAGTTTGTTTCAATAGTTGCGTTCACGTACAGCTCCTTAGCACGGGCTAAGAGGTCAAATTCCTTAGCCCGTGCTAAGCAAACGTGCGTGAACGCTTAGCACTGGCTAAGGAATGCTAAGTACGGGTTAAATCTGATCCGAATTTAAGACACGGTCTAGAGCCTTAGCTTGGGCCACAGTCACTCTACTAGTCTTAGTAGAGTGACTGTGCACGGGCTAACGAAGTGTGCTTGAACGCTTAGCCCAGGGCTAAGCGCCCTCTGCGGCGACCTTTGGGTGTGAACATTATGCTCATGATCAAATATATCCAACTTTCTCATTCCCAAAATGGCAACCGAGCTCAGTGTACATGCTTCCACACTGATCGGGTCGCTGTAGTAGAGCGTACAGCAGCACCAATCGTAGACAAAATAAATTTGGTTCGCTGTCTACGACATGCATTAATAAAACTCTGTATTCTGTTACGCCGTTGTATACGGTTTCTGTGCAACCAAATAAGTTGGGTCCGTCTTCTCTCGCGTTCCTGTGCACGTCGCTTCAAAATTAGAACGAGACATGTCAGCAGCAGAAATAGAACCTCGCGCATGTCATCCATTTTTCGTTCGTAAATAGCGGCTTGCCCCTCAGCCCATGCTAATGACTGGCCCTCCCTGTGCATGGACGCAATTGGGTCTAGCCGAAATGCAAATATGCTAGATAAGCCTAAATCAGCTTAAATCTTAGCCAGTACTTTGTTTAACGTGAACACAACTATTATAAATAAGCATTGTCATAATTAATTTTGAATACAAACAAGTTTTGGGCTTGAAACAACATTGGGAAAGCAGTTTACTGAATGTCCGTGATAGATGTAAATATCTTACAAAAACATTGGTGCCTTATTTGTTTAATTATTTTAAGGGACATAATTTCCAGCTTTATTCAAAGTAATTCTGATTTTTCTGTTTTTAACAAATGCCACATCTCAAAAAAAAAAAGTGTTGCATTTAGACGTGAATAGATTCATAAATCATGCAAGACAACAGAAAATCTTAGTATTTTATACAGGTGTCTGTCAAAATTAATGATTCATGGGACTAATATGAACTGCCTTTATTATATTTATTGTGTGACTTGTATTATTTGAAAAGTAAAAAAACGCCCTCTATAAATAGCCATCATGTTGCAAGCTCTGCTTTGTAATGCAAATCAATTAAAATAGTTAGTTGGTGTCCAGTGGAGAGAGTAGTCAACAGTACTTTTGCCTCCTGAGAATCTACATCTTTAAACACTGCAATCTTTGTTTTTAAAGTGTGTTTTTAAATTACTATTATAAAAGCTCTATCATTCTGTTTTAATAGCTGAAACAAATTCCTGTGAATTTTCATTGTTGAATGAACGGTTTGTCAAATACAGAATACCTATTATTGAGTACAATTTTCTTTTCAAAATGTGGATGCAACGTTTTGCTTTTTATGTATTTTTTATGTATTGTTTTTGATTTGATAATTTTGGAGTAAACAGATTTTCTATTAGCTTCAGATCTTCATCAAAGTTTGGCACTCAATTCATAGGAGTGCTTATATTGATTTTCTCACATCTTGTTTTCTGCAAAAATATTTGGTTTGCAAATGTGTATCAGACTGTGCAAAAACTCCCTCTATGAGTTGGTTTTGAAACCCAGTCTAGTATTCCCATGGGATATGGGGATACATTACCAAGGATATTATTACAAGATAAATGATTTGCTTCATTGAACACAGACAACAATGCATATTTCCACTGAGATCAGTGACCTTTGATGTGTATCACCAGTGATCAGTCAAGTAGAAACAGTCAAAATATTTTATCAGATTTTCTCAATATTTGCACGATATTTTCATACAGGACATTTGTTGTTCATACTCAGGGAAAACTTTATACTGATGACTAAGGTGACCAAGTTTGATAAAGTTTGGATTAGTAAAGTTATTGAGCACACAATAACAATTATTAACGACGACGACAACAACAACAACAACGGCGACAACGCCGGACAGAAATTTTCCCCTTAATATACCTTTCTCTTCCACATTTGATGTTACGGGCAAGGTAAAAATGAATTGATCTAATCTGTTAGATTTTTAGCCCTCATGTAACAAATATTAAAAGGTCAGCTAAAAGTCGACTGTACAATTTTGCCCGAGATGCCATTATAACAAGCAATTTGACTGGACAATGAACTCAAGTATTGCCAGAGAGGGCGCACTTTAAATACGCGTTTACCATCTTCCAAGGTGTAGTGGTGAGACCGAATAAATAAATAAACCTTGGTTAGCGAAGATGTAAAAACTTATAAAAGGCTGACTGAGTATTAATTAAACATTTCAATATTACGAATTGTTTCAAAATTGTATTTATGATCAAATTATGTGAATATTTATATACCCCGGTAGTCTCAATGTTATAAGATACCAACTCAATTTTTCAAACAAGGCCTGATTTCACTTACCTCGCAATCACTGGTATCTTCTAACGTAATCCTCACCTCTATACAAGACAAATGGACTAATAATAATAAATACTTGGTTGATGAATCCTGTTCGGGTCCTAGAGCCCAAGATATACCAAAATGTTCTATCATCAAGGCAGATAGTTTCAGAGCAGGATCTCTTTGTTTAGCACCTGAAGAAAAAGAATGAGAGGTCAGATACATGTAACCTAGGAAACAAACCCATATGTAAATGACAAACTGTAGATAATTCAAGATTAACACATGTAGTATGTACCAAAGTTAATACACACATATGTTGTTTATTAATTCCTCAAATGAAAAGTAATTTGTGATCAACTAAATCAGCCACCACATCTTCTCAACCATGCTGTTAATATCTTTTCTGAGAATCCTCATATTTATAGTTACAAAATTGAAAAAATTGTTTTTCATTAATGACAGATAATTTCTTTTTTTATTTAACCCTTTGAGTACCTAAAATTTTTCCCATTTAAATTGGGTAATTTGTTGACATTTTTGTAGTTTTCACTGAATTCAATCTTAACAGACAATAAGTATTGCTTCTAGTTTTTGATAACAAATTTAGAAACTTGTGGACTCTCATTTAACTCCATTTATTTTGGCTAACAATACCGGTAACACTTTTTGCAATCACACTGAAAATTCTATCATCCTTTTCATAGAGTCTCCCAAATAATCCACTAACCAACCAAGTTGATAGATCCTGAGACATATCATATGTTTTTTATAATATTTCCCCAACTTGTAAACGTAACTTCATGCTTTAACTTGCACTATTATTTTGGATAATTTGATAGATTCAAAAATACTTGATATAAGCCATGAACATGAGTTGCTACCTTAAAATAATACCATTCCCAAAAAGTCAAAATGGCAGACTGGTATGTTATTTCACAAATTATATATTTGTAAAGGCTTACCTATTTTACTTCTAAGTATATCAGACAAGCCATAATAAATATTACTACTCCACACAGAGTATGGCAAAGTTTCTATCACAGGCTGAAATGTCAAAACATAAAATTATATATAAAAGCATGCAGTCAATAAAAAGCTATTTAATTCTAAATAGCAATATACTCACAAACAATGTGTATCTTTCGTATTATTTTAGCTATCGTCACTAGAGTCAAATTATACTGAATTGTGTAAAACATTGTCTCTATGATTTACGATGCATGATCTATGTGGTTCCAGTTCATTCAAATGCTACCAGCATCACATCAAAGATATCGCTGTTCCATCTCAAACAGAACAATGTCTGATTCACACTGCCAAGTATCTCATGATGTACTGTACAGAAGCAGTCTCAAGAGTGGTCCTAAATTTATTAAATTTGAGTAGTTTTCTTCATTTTTCCGAACCTTTGAAAATATTCTAAGCTAAAAACACAGTGATACCTAACACGGGTGCAAAATTAAGACATCATAGATAATTCTAGCTCATTTAGTCGCCATTCACAAACACCAATTACTAACAATGTTGCAACTAAAAAATATAGTTATTTTTGAAGTCATCACTATATTAACCGTTTCAGGGAGATAATGATAACATATACATAACAGAATTTTGAAGCCAATTCAAACAATTATCTTTTTCACAATCCATAAAATAACACCAGGAGACACAAAGCATGGATTAAATATATAAATACAATGTATTTGTGCATGGAGCACTAAAGTTGAGGAGATTTTAGCTGTCACCTGCAACATTCAATTTAATATAATTAATAATAATATTTCAAGAAATATTGTGTGAAACAACCAACACATTGTAAAATTGGCGTAATTAATTAATAACAGTCAATCATGATGTCAAAAATTTAATCTGCTTGCATAGACAAATCAACTTACCCAAATATAGAAATTACTTTACTGCTTAATTATTAATATACTATTGAACTACCATAATATATATAAGATTACCCGGTAATGTACATACACATGTACATGTACATAATTTGAATACAATAAATTCAGCCATAACTCATGAAAATGAGTTCCTTTATTTGTTGTCTGCAAATGTGACTTACCCGGGATGCAGTCGATAAAACAGCAAATAACGAGTCACACAAAACAAATTTCTTTTTTTCCTATAAAAGTGAACAAAAAAAGAAAATTGTAGAAATTGCTAGAGTAGAAATCTAATCAAAAACCCCAATTAGGTAAGCTGTTAGAATAGCTTGTCCAATAAATACAAGTCAATGACATACTCCCTGCTAATAATTTGAAAATAATATACTGTGCTTTTCAAAGAAATACAGCACAACATTTAGTATTCAAGATGAAGAAATGTTTCTGTCATCTAAAATCCATCCATAATGTTATGTATTGTATTTGTACCACTGAGCTTAAATAAATCAAAATGTGTCTTAGGAAATTTGTACAGATACACAAAAACTGAAACAAAAAACATAACCCATCATCTATGACCTTAATTAATACAAAACCTAAAAACTATAAAACATCTTGCGCAATGACTTATTCTATATCTCTAATACAAGCAAATGTATTAATCAAATAAAACAAAACTGATTAATTAATGCATTCAACAGGTTATTTATTAATAACTTAATTATCACAATGCAAGCTTCCAATACAGTGAGTAAATACAGTACACACCTGTGTTTCTCTGAACTGAGCAGAAAGTGAATCTAATAATTGGTTAATCACTTTATCATAATACGTCCATACCTGGTTACCGTTTTGTTGTAACAACTGTATTATTAATGGCAATGATTTCTCACAACCTGGGACAAAATGCACTTAACAATTACCAATATGGAATATTCATGTACATATTCATATATATGATAGGGAAACACCTGCATACCCTATACTCAAGTCTTTGGCACTGTATACTTGTACAAAAACTTTTATAGTGGGTTGGTGTAAATGATTATTTTGTTTTTTTCTTTTATCATGAAATTTGAAGAGACATATTGACAATGTTTGTACCTTCAATAGGAGACCAATATTGACATTTCTGCAGATTCCAAGTAAATACTTTTATATCTACGGGTATATACACACATTTTACAAATTTTATCAAAAAATAGAACTTCAATCAAATTACGAGGATGTTGATTATAGATCAAAAATATGCAGAGTGATTTCTTTTCCTGTTGGGTTCTATGAATAAACTTTTGTCAACTTCTCATGGCTTTTCAATAAAAACAGCTAGATACATATAACTTAAAAGTACTAGACTATGTTTTGCACATGGTGTACCATTAGACTCACCATAACATTTTTCAGTACATGCTTTACACAGTGCTTGTACTGATCCATGTCTTATCATTTGTTGCTGACCGTCTGGTGCCGATGCTATTGACAGCAAACACTGGTAACAGTCATCCACTGTTCCTCGAACACCACCATCTAATTCTGCACCACGTAAACTAGAAATCAAGCATTATATACATCGTACATGTAGCACTATACACTGTACATCAGTAGAGTCTGCATTTGTTTTCCATGAAGAATTCACATTGTACCCATATCAAACTTGATGTGGTGTGACAAGTGTAAAATGTGACAACTGGTTGTGTTTCACATGTTGTATTTGTTATATTGTATATATAGAACTTAAAATAAAACCTATACATGAAAAGTTAACGGTGATGACAATTTTTACTGCACAAATATCAGTACCAATGACAGACGAGTTGTGCATAATCTCTCTATTGTAACACGATTAATTTAATCTCCAACAAAATAAATAAATACTTGACTCACCTTTTGCATGATGTTATGACATCATTGAAAATTGGTATTTTTGACTGCATTTGTGGATCAGCAGCAAGTTCCGGATCCGTACAGAAGCATGCAAGTAGTGTCAGGCCGATAGAATGAAACATGTTTGGATCACAACCTTCAGGTACTTCAGCTGAACAAAGAACAAATAAATGTCAACATTTTCAACATCAGCTGACGTACAGTAGGTACATCAATCAATTTTCATCCACACGAATGTTTGCAATTTGAGGATGATCATCATGATTATGGTCACCATAACAACTAAAAAACATTACAGTCACAGTAAAAATTTCACTACTCAGCATGACTCACATTTAAATAGACCTAGGATCCAAATGTCTGTTGTGGTCTGATTGAGAGTGAGAGGGCTACAAGAGAGTTGATTTGCTACCACAACCCCACCAGCCTTGATACAGTACAATCTGTATTAGAAGCAGCACCCATTCTTTTCGAACAATTGAGACCCACAAATTCATCATTCATGTGTAGATGCTCTAATAGAAACCGCATCTCCTTTGTTGCATTGTACCATTTTAATAGAAGCCTCGGCTTTTAATACAGATTTTACAGTAATGTTTGATCAAAAATCATCGTCACATATACTGTTCTCTTTACCTGTGTATTTGTGGGTGGGTGGGTGGATGTGATAATGAGAGAAATTTAACATTATTTTGAGAAGGCCGAAAACAAGTCTCATGGTTTTCTTACTTTCAACGAGATCTCTGCAGCCATTTACATCTGAGGTCTATTACAGCGGTTTACACTCAGTGATTGATTATAGAGAATTAATGCAATTTCATGACACAACTGAAACTTAGGGAAAAAAGGCTTGAAACCCTGGAACTGCAATGGCCATAGTAGTTTTGTATTTATATCATCTGAGTTTAAACTTGATATATGAAGGGCCCCAAGGTAAAAACCTCAACAGATGAATGGACATACCATTTAATTCCAACCTACAGGCATCCTACACAGAGATTAATTAAGAAACCCTGATTTTCTGGTGAAATATTCACTTTTTATTAGTAGCACACGCACTTGACTAAATGACAGTAGTGTGTTTATTGTCAAAATGAGTCATATAATGGTCCAGTATAAAAAATTAATGTTTAGGTTTATGAGAGCAACTATACTAGAGATGTACAGATAAAAAAAAATATGATATAAATGCATATTAAGTTGAGTTATACAGATTATAACTACCATCCCCCTCAAACTAAACAAACCACCCCATCTCCATCCTACACAATCCCACACATGTACACATGGTTTAAGAATGAGAAGGATACGAGTTCACAGAGTCAGATACTTTAATCACGCAAAATCTGTGCGAACAGGAACATCTGACATCTAAGGTTTAACAAAAATCCATATAGTGTATTCAAATTATCATACTGTACAATCTGTC